AGAGAGAGAGAGAGAGAGAGAGAGAGAGAGAGAGAGAGAGAGAGAGGGAGAGAGAATAGTATCAAGAAATAAATGCTATGTTTACCAAGCTCAGGCTCTTTTATTTTGGTCATACCATTTATTCTAATTCTTAAATTAGCTATGCTAAGAATGGAGGTGCTAGAAAATGAAAGTGGCTAAAACCACACTGGATAGAGACCATCAACAAGATTCTGGTTTAAATTGAGAGATATTAAACCAAGTTGTAAACTATCAAAAGCAGAAAAAAACTAAGAAAGTTATAAATAAGAAAAAGAGAGAGAGCAAGAATGTGCCTCCCACACAATTAATTCTAGGTAACTTATAATTCTAAAAGAATAACATTATCAAAACCAGTCCACCATACTATGTATGTATTGGCAGGGCCAAAAACTTCCCAGTAAAATGCTGACTGCATTATATAGTGCTCAGCCCTCTTGAAACCCCTGCAGAAAAGCATGGGGTTTGCTACTTTTTAAAATCAGAACAGGTTAAGGGTCACCCAGACCTACAGGCCTACTCCTCTTCAGTTAGACACCAACATTGCCAAGATCATCCTCCAGGCTTCCTTATTTCCTTGGGACAGAGGTGTGGGAAGGACATGATAGCATGCTTTCTTGGGCTAACCACATATTGGTTAGGCGGGTCCAGAAGTGGGTTCCTACTGGTTCGGATCAGTTTGGGCGAGTAGGTAGTAACTTGGCCTGCCACACTCCTGAACTGGTTCTTTCGGCAGTGCCATAAGCACCACCATCTTGTTTTTTTGCTTCTGCGCATGCAGAGAAGCATTTTTTTAGTACTGCGCATGCACGCAGTGTGTCCCTGAGGGAACCAGCAGTAGCAGCAGCCGGAACCCACCCCTGGGCAGGTCCCACTTGGCGCAAAGAGACTTAAACCAGTGATTTCTAAGACACATTTTAACTTGCTAGCATTTACTTTTTAAACCTTACCTGGGGACCTATCTAACTGAAAGTCTAGTTCTTGTGATGTAGTGACAAGGTGCTGGATTAGAAATTGAGAAACTCACTCAGGCAAACCCAAAGGTGCTTTTTCAGGAGGTAACTGGGCTTTCTGTGTTTTGTTTTGTTTTTGAAGATGTTTCACTTTTTATCTAAGAAGTTTTTTTAGCTTCTGGGCTGAAGAAGCTTCTTGGATGAGAAGCAAAACATCTTCAAAGAAAAATCAGAAAGTCCAATTGCCTTCTGAAAGAGCATCTTTGGGAAAACCATGACCTGGATGACTGAGAATCTCCATAGACATTCCCCAGGCAAAAATACTAGCTGGGTGACTATGCGCCAGCCATTGTCTCTCAGCCCAACTCACCTCAAAAGATTGTTGTGGGGGAAGACAGGAAAAAAAGCATTATGTAAGCTGCCTTGAACTGTAAAAAGTAAAGATGAGATATATCAAATAAATACACAGATAAAGGTATTCAGATATTAAGAGCCTTCAATCAGGGTCTGTTTATTGGGCGTATCAGAAAGGGTCTACTTCTCCATGACTCTCAAGCTATAGCATATGTTCTTCATAGAGTTGCATTTGACCCCACCCACTTTTCTATTTCTTCCATCAAGGTTTTATGGTTAGTTGTCCCTAGTTTCATCATTCCATTTAATTTTTGATTTTGCATCTATATTTTGCATATCGCGAGTTGCCTTAAATATTCAGTGCCAATAAAAAGGATGACTATCAATCAGATAAATAATTAGGAATGATTGGGCAGCAGGATTATGCTGTCCAGGGTGTTTAGGAATCTCTAATTGATTTTTCAAATAATTTGTAGCCAGATGCTTCTAAGAGAGTTTTTACAACAGCATACATTTAAGGTAAAGATGATGATGTCCCCTGAGTCAAGTCTGATAACCAAACATGTCCATCCAGATTTCAAGGCCACAACATGGGAGTATTTTGTCACAACCTTCTTCCAGAATCTTTTCTGAGTAGTCCATCAAGTCTATAACCTTGGAATCCTTCATCCCAATTTAGATAGGTCCAACCTGGCTCAGCTTCCAAGTCCAGACAAGATAGGAGACTGTGATGAACTGTGAGCAAACCCCAAAACTGTATTCCTCTTCCCTTGATACAAGTAGGGGACAAAAAGCCAAAGGTGCTAAAATTTATTTAGATATGCCCCTATTATGCCAAGCCAACCTGTCCCCAATCAGAAGACCTGTGGACACCTTGGGACTGAAATATACCTGGAGAAAACTGGGTTGAAAAAGCCTTGGCTGAATTAATGGAGTCTCCAAAGGTGGCAATTTTAAGACTTGTGGGCTTGCAACTTCTAGAATTCTCCAGCCAGCATTGAAACAAGAAAGCTTGTTATATTGGGAATAGTGAGCCTTTAAAGTCTCTGAAATGCAGATTCATATTCAATTTATACACTAGTTGACTACAATAATTTGCCTGCCTTTGTCTTTGACTCCCCTGTGCTTGACTGTTGGTGGT